ACATATGAACTCTACTGACTCCCGCATTGTGCGCACACACATGTGTGTGTGTGTGTGTTTGCGGTGCACATGCTCTTACTAGCCAGTTGAGCACACTAGAGATTCTGAGATGGCCGTAGCTGAAAGGCCTGGTTAGAAGATTACACTGGGATAACTTCTTGACACACTGCAGCTTTTCAGAGGGGCAACACTAATAATAATAGTAACATTTACCTTGTCCTGGACAGTGATCTAGTTCATGCTTAGTTCTCAACAGCCTAATAAAGTAGTTCTGTCATTAAACTCAATTTGCATATAAAATAGACAAAGAGGTTAAAAGCAATGAGTCCTGAGCTAGGAAGTCTTGTGAGCAGGGTTTGAACTCATATAATCATCTTCTAGTCTGTGCTGTGAACTACTGTGCTAAAAGACCTAGGTGATCTTGTCTTGACATTAGCTTTACTTGCTTAGCTCTTACTTGTAGCATTTCTTTTTTTGTTTTGTTTTTGTTTTTGTTTTTGTTTTTAGACAGGGTCTCACTATTAGTTCAGGCTGGCCTTGAACTCATGGTGATCCTACCTCAGGCTCCGAAGTGCTGGGGTTACAGGCGTGCACCCTCGGGCCCAGCTGCATTTGTTTATTATAACCAACTCTAGCAGACCCTAAGGCTCCCAACCTGGTATCTGTTTACCAATTTATGAAATTCAGAGGTAAGGGTCCTTTTTTTTAATTGAGTTTATTGGTACATTTTAGGGATACAGTACAGTTATAGTCATCATTGGGATCTTGTACCTCTACATGACAGGTCTTAGTTCTCATTTTTTCCCCTTGTCCCTGCCCTCCCTTCACCCCCTCCTCCCCTCCCCATTTACAAACACTTTATTTGCATCTTTTCATTTTCTCACATTTTTTTTCTTTTCCCTTGTTACCCTTCCCCTACCCATCCCACCTTCACATAGATGGTAACTCAACTCTAGAAAGTAGAAAATGCTCTTCTAGGAACTTTGTAAACAGAATTAAAATGAGAGAAAAGGCAATTTCTCTAACCTTACAAATGATAAGAGTTCCTAAAAACTTAGTCTACTCTGCAAAACCATCTAACCTTTATCCCACAGGAGACTCATACTTTGACAAGGTATATTAAATATTTTTGTTTTGTAGAAAACCCCTGACGACCCAATTCATGTAGGAGATATTGTAAGCACAGTAAAGGATGTTGATGTGTCTATGATCTCATGGCATTCCCAGAACTGAAAATACCTTCCTTTGCACTTTTATAGTTAGTTGTTATTTACATTGTAGTCTCTTGTTTCTAAGAAACAACAAACTGCTAGGATTTGACTTAGATCTTAAATGCTTGGCAAGCAAGTGTAAAGCATTCTGCTTAGAAAAAAATGTTTCCATTTTCACCTGGGACCTTATTATCTAAAACATTTCATCTAAATTGTGTAGTTCCCTTTTTAAAAATAAAATAAAATCATACTTCTGAAGGCTAGAATAAGCCATGTGATCGCCTCATTTTTGCATCAGCAGAAATCAGTAGCAATATGCCTAGAAAATAGGACTTGTTGCTTCCCAGGTGTGATAACGTTTCTTTCTTCAACATTTTCTTGCTTCTTAAATGAGAACATCCTCACCTCTGCCAGGAGTTTGTTTGTTTGTTTGTTTGTTTTTTGTTTTTTGTTATTGTACCAGGGATTGAACTCAGACCTTGTGCTTGCAAGTCAGGCAGCGGAACCACTGAGCTAAATCCCCGGCGTGCCAGGATATTAAGTAGTATTTTTCCATGTATGCAACTTCTGTTCCCATTTGAGTTGAAGGGAACCTATACTGTGGTCCAGAGAACACTTTAGTTCATTCTGAACTTCTTCACTCCCCCTTTAGACAGCCAGAAACAGTAATTTAAAAATCGGGCAGTTTGACTTTTAATTATCAGCCTAGTAGTTACGCACATCATACCGGCACTCTAAACCAGCCTTTTTTTTTTCTTTTTTTTTGGTACCGGGGATCAAACTCGGGTCCTTGTGCTTAAACCAGCCTATTTTTAATTGTTAGCTCAAGAAAGTGAATAATGAGAATTCTTAATCTTAAAGCATTTAGTTTTTATTTGATCTTTTGGTGTTGCCTACTTGCAAGAAAGTGCCTTACATAATAAACCTCTTGTTCTTCCTTTTGCTCCTCTAGTTCTCCTGTTTGGAGCGTTTTCTACTCTCCTTGGAGAGATGTTGGCCCCAGTTTTGCGAGCTGGAGGGCAGAATATTCTAATGCACAGGGCTTGCTTCAGGAAGTGTCCAGGTTTAAGGCCATGTGAGAAGACTAATTTTAGCATCGGGGTTTTATTCGTGCCTTATAAATTTTTGCCTAAAAGTCTTTTTTTTTTTTTTTTTTTGGTACCAGGGATTGAACTCGGGATGTTGTGCTTGCAAAGCAAGCAGCAGAACCACTGAGCTAAATCTCCAGCCCTAAAAGTCTTTTTGTATTGCACACATTTTAAAAAATGAAACCAATTAAATTTTTACAGTAGGAAAAAGATGAGACAAGGAAGAGATAAAAAGATTGGAGGAGGAAAATAACTTCAGAAAACCCAGAATTTCTGTATGTTACTCTCTCTGTTACAGGTTTGTCCCCTGCTTTGGTAATGCTCAGATCTATGCAGCATGTGTCAAGGTTAAAAACGCTTTCACCAGCGTTGCTGTCGTCATTATTTGCTCTCTGCTTTTAATAGCCAGGCTTATTTATATCCCAGTTAAGAATTGTCTCAGAAGAGTGTGGCGTTCTTCGGAGTAAATTGTAGTCGATTGGGTGTACAGAGCTGTTTGTGGGCATGACTCTTGTTTTAATGTTTTTGTGCTTCGTTCCTCATACTTAATTGCATTATCAGATAGTGAAAACAGAAATAGAGGCAAATCAGCATCCTCTGGCCTTTTACAGGGAAATCTGGAGAAAGAAATTAGCCACCACTGCTCACAGCTTCTGTCCCGTACCCTTCCGTGGACGCATGTGCACAAGCACCACCCTCTGTCTGTCAAATTGCACCCCCCACTGCCTCCCAAACACTGAGAATTCCTGTTTTCATAGCTGGGCCTGCTTCATTACCCTTCCCAGCCTCCATCCCTGCCTTCTCTCCTCTTGTTGGGAACAGCACTCTCTAGTGAAAATCCACAAAGCTTTGCATTAAGACAGATCTGGTTGGGATTCCACATTTGCCATTTAGGAAAATAGCTGAAATTTACTGGTAATCCATTTCCTTGTGTACAAAATGAGGATTAATAATACCTCACATGGTTTTCATGGAGGATAAGTGGACAGAAAAAACTGAGCACTTAATAAATATTGGTTCCCTTCTTTGCAGTTCCTGCTTTAGTAGGCCTACGTGTTCTGTACAACTCAAGTTCTGCAGATTGTCTCTGAAGCACTTATTTGGCACCGCATGATGCCACCATATTACTTATTTTGTATCCACTATCTTCCCAAGTTGCTTATAAGTTTCTTGAAAGCTAAAACCCTCTTGAAGCAAAGATTCCTCGGTTTCTGACACAGCCTGGTTGTGTATAGTAGCCTTACATATGTGAGAGTGTAGAACTGGAAAATACAAAGCAGTTCCCTAACCATGGGGTCTCCTTAGTCTAAATTTATTAGTTTGGAAAAGGTGTTGAGTCCAGTGCATTTCGTGGCACAATACAGGAAATAGCTTGAGAAGGCCTTTCTTAAATTATGAAACCTGAAAGGATGCCATCAAATCCAGAAAGAGTTGTTTACCCATTGCTGCAGAAAGAGCTTGGCTAGGTACACATCTCTTTAAGCAATATTCTTTTAAAAAATACAATGGGAGCCAAGACCTGTCCTCTAAATGTACAAGATCCCAATAATGAATGTAACTGTACTGTATACCTAAAATGTACCAATAAACTCAATGAGGGAAATAAATAAATAAAAAGCTTTTAGAACATGTTTGAATGTCCTGGTAAAGGAGAACTGTTACTTACACAATCTTGGCCAAATAATTCCTGTCCTCTGAAAGGAAGTTTGTGAACTTCCACCAAATATGCATCTTGAATGACGATGTAAATAAGACATAAAGTAAGAAGAAGGTACCTGCTCATGGAACCAGAGCAGCTGGAACAAACCGGCAACAACAGAGGGACCTGGTATAGCCATATCATTGATACGTCAGATATGAGATCTTAGTGTTTCCTTACCAGAAAAACGACCCCCGGGTGGAGCTAAATATTGGGTCTGTCCATATTAACACACACTCCCTAGTAGGATCAAAACCCTTTGACTCATGAGCAGTGCAGAAATAGAACAAACAAAAACCATTCTGTATAACTGATGTACACTAATTTTTTAAAAATCCTTTGTCTCAACAAAACCATACTAGAGGTCAGACCCACTGCATATATCGAAAATGTTAAAAATGCAAGAATTGTATTCAAGATAGGACATTTTATGCTTAGATAAATCTTTAACCACGTGACCTGAACTTGTTTTCTGAAAGAAAAATTGGTACCCTTGCTATATCAGTCTTAAATAAGGAAATCTCTGCTATTTACCCTCCTTTAGTTCCTTGGTTTAAAATTATTTATAATCCCTCACCTTTGGTGTATCTCATTTTTTTCTGTGATGCAAGAATGGTATAGTTCTGTGCTGTAATTCATCTGTCTCTCAGATTTATTCGGGTGCTAATCTGTCATGCCTCACCTTTGAAAAGCAAATAGAAGGAAAATGTTTTGATGATATTTTTAACTTCAACAGAATATTTCATAGCAGCCATTATGAATGGAACAGGATTTTGATCTGTGTTGTCAGTCTTTCCCCCGAAATGGTTGGTTCTTACAATAGCCTGGCAGTTGAAACTCAAAGTTCAGGACAAGTCTTGTCCCAGAAATAACCTGGCTGTGCATGTGTGGTGCTGTGCTGGAGAAACACTAGCATTGTTAGCTTCTTGTTTGGGAGCCTTGCATTACGGGACAGTACAGGAGAGATGTTTCTAACGTGTATCTGTGTCTCTTGTCATTGAGGTGACTGTTATGAGAAAGCCCTGGACAACGGCCATGGCAAACAGAAATATTTTGACCACCCACAGTCACTGGACGCTGCTGAAGAAGAGCCCTCTGACAGAGGAACAGAGGAAGACCCTGAGCATTCAAGGAGGGGCCCTGAGGCCCTTAGACTTGAAAGTAAGTTGATTTGACCTGAGCTATGCTTCTGAGGAGAAATCAACTCTCGGGCTTTAACCTTAGGCTTTTCTCTCCTCTCAAGAGTTCGTTCCCTCTCTTAAGAGCCACTCATGTAGAGTCACAAGTGTGACCCTTAGAAGGTGAGGCAGAAGACAAGCTGCACTTGTGAACGTGCTCTCCTCACTCCTTTCCTTCCATCTAAGTGTTGTCTTTCACTAGAACAAATCTGATTCGTTTATGGAGCGGTCTTTCTTCTCAGTGTCACCACTTGTAAGTCATGTAAGGGGCCGGGGGAGTTGTATTTACACTAACTCGGTAAAATCTGAAGATCTGGAATAATGGGCACATCTGCCAGGCCCTCCCAGTAGTCCACTTGATGACTACATTTTGAACTGTGCATCACTCTCCCTTCTTAAGACTCTCTTCTCTTCTCCACTTCCAGAATACTTGTTCATAGCTCTTACCTACCCTCAGATCATCTTTTTCAGTTTCCTTCCCTTGTTCTGTACTCTTTCCCCTCTTTCGTTGGGGTGCCCAGTGTCCTAACCTTTGTCTTATTTTCTTAGCATTCTAGGTCTTACCCTGTAGGAACTTGACACCTTGGAACACACTAGTGTCTCCAAATGTATATTTTCAGCTAAGATGTTCTGTATAATTCCAGATGTTATTTCGACTTTTTAACATAAAAATGTCTTCATGTGTCACAGGTACTTTAGATTTAACATATCCCAAATTGAATTTGACTTTATTTTACCCTATTTCCGCAACCATTTCTAATTCCTGTGTACCAGGTATCTGTTAATGTATCACAGCTCCCCCGGGCACCACTATATCCAGTTCATCTCTAGACCTGTTGAATCCATTATCTGTTCCTTTTGCCAGTGCCTCAATCTAGACTTTGTTCTTTTCCTACTTTGCTTTTGCAGTAATCTGTTAATTTGGTTTCCAAGCTGTGTTATTTTAGTTTATGTATGAAGAAAAAGACATGAAGACAGGGATAACGAGAATACAGTATAATTGATACAGACATTTAAAATCAGAAGCAGACACTCTTACCAGTTTTGTGTGTGTGTTAGCTTTCTCTTTGCTGGACAAGATACCCAACACCTGCAAACCTAACGGGGAGGTTTTAAAGGATTTCACCCATGGTCAGCTGGCTGTGGCCAGGAACATCATGGCAGAAGGGTCTCCTCAGTACCTGTGGCCAGGAAGCAGAGCAGGGGCCCATGCAAGAGAAGAGGAGCCTAGAATTAGATATATTACCAAGGTCGCACCTCCATGCACCACGCAGACACGCCCTAGGCTTTATTAATTGCCTCTTTGGCTTTGAAGCCAGTCAGGCTGACAGTCCAGCTTCACTCTCACATTGTGTGTCCAAAGATTTGTTTCTAAAATGCAGTTCTGATCAGGTAAGTTGTCTAGCTTTGTGTTTTTCAGTTTTTCTCTTATTACCTATTGGAAGAATTGAAGTATCTTGGAGAGATGCAAAGCGCGGTGGCCCCCAGTTCCTTCTGCAGCTCTGTCACTTACTAGCACACTGCATGGCAGGAAGTGCACACTTTTTGGCCTCGCCCTCCTCTCTCCCACTGTGCTGTTCTGAGCCCTCCTGTCTCATGCACTCTGCGTGCATACACTGTGCTCCAGTTGGACGACTCCTACACACATCTCCAGGAGTTGGCTCGGGTATCACCTCCTCCGTGGAGCATTTCAAGCATTTAGGTGTTCTGTCTACTGTCTTGGTCCTGCCTTTTTCGAAGCACATTTCATACCCATTAGTTGCTTTTATGTCTTATTTCCCACCAGACTGTGAGCTTCTTATATGTTATGTTCTATGTAACTTTGTATTCCTTGTAGACATTTATTAATTATTTTTCTTCCTGTATAGACAAGATTAACATACTTAGCAATTATGAAATCTTTTTTTTCCTTTCAATATATATAAGAAATGACATCTAGTAGAAGCAAGCTAAACCTCAAAGGGTAAGAGTACTGCTGTGACCTTTAATCTCTTACCAGAAACTATTGGACTTTAAAGAAACTGAGCCTTTAAAGAAATTGGACTTTACCAATTGAGAAGAGATTTATTCTTAACCTGGATGGCAGTTTGTTCACTTATCATGGGACAAGTCCTCTTTGGTCCCTAGTAGCTTTATGTCCCCTTTTTTGGGACCAAGTACAAGAACCCCTGCAATAGCCATAAGGGAAGGTGGAGAAGAACCCAAAATGAGATAAGGAATTAAATTGCTGTTTGGGGTCCCTGTCCAGCTGCTTCCTGGGTGAGCTGCACAGACATTTTAAGTCATACAGTGTCCCAGACACTGTGCCAAGGGTGTGATGCCTGACTGTGTTGCTTACTATTCAGTTGGGCTGATGGTAGCATGTGGCAGGGCAACCCGAAGGATCTGAACTCTTGAACTGCCAATAGGACAAGGCAAGTGCAGGAGCAGCACATTCTCAAGACCTTCACAAACCAAACTGTTCCTGAGTTCTCAGTAATCCTTCCCACGGCCCTCTGGCTCAGCTCTGCATTAGGAATGTCCTAGCAAACAGAGGAGCTGAAAGGTGGACTTCTTTGTCTGCCTATATTTTATACTACTGGCTGTGCGATTTACAGCAGTAACCACCTTTGTCTATATATTCTAAAAGGAACGCTTTGGTAAACCCAGATACTTGTTTCAGAACTCAGTTTAATATAATAACCATAATTATTAGAAACCAGCACATTGATTTACAAAACTAAAAGGACGTACTTGAAAGGACAACACTACACTTTTTCCTGGCTTATTAATAAATACATAAGCCCTGTCATTTTTTTTCAAGGAAGAATAAGAAAGATTGCTAATAGTACCCCCAGCCTCCCACTTTCTTTTTTGTGGTACCGAGGATCAAACTCAGGTCCTTGCACTTGTGAGGCAGGCAGCAGAACCACTGAGCTAAATCCCTGGCCCCTCACTTTCTATAATATAACACGGGACAGACACACCACCAGAGCTGAGGGTGAAACTGCTAACCTTCTGCATGTATGGCTTAAAGCTTTGTCGTTTTCAGCTGTGGTGGCAGCTGTGGTTCTCACTCGAAGCCACCTCAGAGACTGTACTGTGCTTTCCTAAGAGGGGCTGCTCGCTGAGCCTGTCTGCCTAGTCAGCATGAGAGTCCCAGCGCTGGCCTACTTATTACTACCGTCAGGAATCCCTGCCAGAATCACCAGCTGAAGATTGTTGCCCCGGAATGACAGACCGACATTGTGGGAGCCACCAAGCTACAGCTCTCAGGTTATCTGGGTGCAAGTTATAAATGAAGGCTTTTTTAAAATATATATTTGATATAGGGTCTTGGACCTGAGCTATATCTGAAACACACATACACATACTCTGACACAGGGTCTTGCTAAGTCACTAAGTTTCCCGGGTTGAGCTCAATTTTGCTTTTAGTTTTGTACCCTGTCTGCTTCCAGAAAGGATTAGCGATAACTCATAGAGCACACAATATAAGGTGCAACCTTTAATGCAAAATAAACATTAAAATTTTAATTGAGAAGACGAAAGCATTGTTTTACAAAACTCAGAATAATCTGCCTGAGCTTCCCTGTTATCTAAGCATGGAGGGAAACTTGGAGCATTGTGTGGCTTTCACGAGGCTATAAAGGAAACATACTGCCTTCTCAGGAGAGAGGATTTTCATAGGTGATTTCACTGTGACGCATCCATGGAAGTCTTTAGCAACATAGCTTTTAGTAAACATTTTAGGAAGAAATTACACTAGTGTAGCGATATTACTTTCATCGGCCATTATGAAAATGGGAACCTCCGTGTGGAATTAGGATGGTTTCTTCACTAACGAAATCATTCTTCAGTTAAACCAGCTATGTCAGTGCACACACAGCTGTGATGTTTCATGGCATTGGAATAAAGCTTGAAGAATCTCACATGCCCATAGTAAACTTAATCTTTGTCGTCTATGTTTTGTATGCAGAGCAAGTAAATCTTTTAAAAAATAACACACAGCACAGCTGATTTCATACTCACTACAGACATAATCAGTGACTGCCTACCATTCAGCTCCTTCCATCGTTCTTAGCCAGGCTTTTGACCAAAGGTAGATGATTGAAGTGATACTCTGTTAGGGATTCTGAAGATAGCGGATGGCATTTTTATGAAGGTGGCCTACGGAAGTGCCCCAAAGCAAAGCCTAAAGTCCTCTCCAGAAGCGGGGTTGGAGTTGTACACATACTAAAAGGAACTCTGTGGAACTGTTGTAATATGCTGGTCCTTGAATTTCAGGTACAGTGGTAGAGGAAAGCAATGGTTCTGATGAGATGGAGAGCTCAGATGAAGCAAAGATGTCTGAAGAGATCCTGGCTTTGGTGGATGAATTCCAACAGGCGTGGCCTCTGGAAGACCTTGGAGGAGCACTAGAGATGAAGGGGCGGCGTCTAGACTTACAGGGGATTCGGGTCCTGAAGAAAGGTCCCCAGGATGGAGTGGCCAGAAGTTCTTGCTATGGTGACTGCAGAAGTGAAGATGATGAAGCAACAGAATGGGTGAGAACTTTGCCAGGGGAGCCCCCAAGGAATTGTAGCCCGAGCCTTTGAGAGGATTCATAACGTGCACAGGAGTGAAATTTTTGCTGGGTTTGTAGCACTGCTTACTGCACACTCCCGGACAGCTGTCACTGGAACTGTACTCGGGAAGCTTTCCATGTTGCTCGTACCAGCTCTTCTAGAGGGTTTGAGGAAATGGGATGGGTAGAAAGCCATAGCCAAAGCCTGGAGACCAGGAACTGCCCAGATCAGATATCTTACTTTCCATGTCTGCCGTGCACTCTCTAAAAACTGGTGATTTTATTCATATGGTAACCATTTTTTATTTAGACCTTTAAGAATTAAACTAACCTGTGTGCAGTAGCAGTTAGTCTCAGCACTTGGGAGGCTGGGGTAGGAAGATCGTACCTAGAGTTTTAAGACCAGTCCAGGCAGCTTAGTGAGACCCTGTCTCAAAATAAAGGAAAAAAAAAAAAAAAAACTTGAGAGATCTTAACTGTAGCAGAGGACTGAGATTTTCCTTTTCAAACGTTTTAAAATTTAATACATAAGAATTACACATAATCATGGGATACATTGGGAATTTCAAGTATATAATTGCAGTGGTCAAAACAAAAAGCACATCCACCGCGATTATTCCTAAAGCCGCTGATGTCCACGGTGAAGGACAGCTGCGATCATCAGTGCCGTCTGTCCCTAACGTGTTTCTGTCTCACAGATCACATTCCAGGTCAAACGAGTTAAGAAACCCAAAGGAGATCCTAAGAAGACTCCTGGGAAAAAGGTGGAATTGAACCAAGCAGAAAACGGACACCGTTACCAAGCAAACCTGGAGATCACTGGCCCAAAGGTGGCATCTCCTGGGCCGCAGGGTAAATTCCAGGGCAGTGTTTAGGGTGCCAGTGTCTTCCCTCAGATTTCACTCTCATTTCTCGCAAAGGATGCATTGTGACTTAGAGCAGTTCAAATGAGGAGGTAAAGAGGCAAAATCAGGCATTGGTATAAAATGTTCATGTTGATATTTACTTGATTTTTTTAACCATTGACTATTTGGCTTATACTCTTACCACTTGAAGTTTAAATATCCTATTCACAACATCCCAGTGTAATATGCATAAAAGCGTGGCTTGGGGACAGATTCCCTGGGTTTAAACAGCAGAATTGCCATTTACTTTTCTGCTCCTTGTTTTTCTTATCCGTAAAATGGGGATGATGATCACATCTACATTAGAGGGTGGTATTAAGGACTGTGGACTTTATACACCAGGCACATAGGCCTCAATAATAGTAACTATCTAGGGCCGGAGATTCAGCTCAGTGGTGCCAGCGCCTGCCTCACAAGTGCAAGGTCCCAAGTTCAATCTCTGTACCCACCCCCCCAAAAAAAGTAACTATCTAGTATGTTTTTGTGTACCGGATACCTCTGTTAAATATTGGATAAATGTTTTGCAGTGCATTGCCTCAGAGCTTAACATGTACTTTCAAGAACTCACAGTTATCTTGAAGCTCATCTTGGCCCCAGTTAAGGGCCAGTGCCATGAACCCAGTGGACTTTTCTTCCAACAATTAAATTGCGGTGATAGAATTCCTTGCTTAATATGTTATATTGCTTTAAAGGGCTATTTATACTGTCTTTGACTCAAACTTCAGTTCATTAAAATGTCTTACTTAGTTACCAAAGCTGAAGTCAAAGGACTTCATAATAAAATAAGAAGAATGGGTTCCACTTGGCTAGATCCCAGAATGAGCTTGTAAGATACTGTGAGGACACCAAGAAGGGTTTTTGGTCACGACTGGAGGTAAAAAGCTTGAATTACTTATACTGTTGAGGAAGCTACCATTTGTTGACAAATTGCAGAAGGAAAGTAACTTCCCTTCTTCTAGGACAGTTTCTGTGTCAGTGTAAAATAATACTGAAACTGTAAAACATGAAGATGAAAATTCCTAGATTAAACGTCAGATGTCATAAATCAGGTGGAATAAAATTTCGATGAATATTTATATGCTTTTAAGGCAAAGGACTTTCTGAGGCAAAGAAAAAGAAAAACAGTAAAATTCTGGCACTAGGAAGCACCACAGAAGAAAAAGATAAAGGACTGACATACAGTAGTTTTCACAGAATATTTCTATACATGAAAATATGATAAGCAAAGCATCTGATGTCATTTAAAGAGAAGCATGAAAACTATAATATTTTAATGAAATATGTCCAGCTTTGTAAACACATCTGTGGCTTTAAAGATGGGGAAGATTTTTAGCTCACTAGCGATCAGGAGCACAGACATAAACAGTGAATCACCCGTCCTGCTTCCCAAATTGTCTCTCAAATGTGTAGCGCCTACTGAGAGTTAATAGAGTGAATTTTGGGGTCATTTGACAAGATACATCAGAAAACTTAAAAATTTCTAGTAATTATACTTGTCCTGATTTACCCTAAATAAATCATCTTATCGATGCCAGAGTTGTAAATACAGAGGTATTGGTCACAGGGTCACGTACCATAGCAAAAGACTGTAAATAACTTTAATATGCCATTGCCTAAAGAAATGATAGCATATCTGTGCTGTACACTGCGCACCGAGATACTTGCGTTATACTAAAGAAACAAAAGCAGTTTATAAAATAATGCAGAGAATACTCCAGTTCTCATAAAATGATAAACATGCTGTGTTTTGTCGACTTTTTATCAATTTCTTTAGTCAATTTTGACAATTTTTTTCACATTTCAGTACCGCTGAGGTGGTGTTATGTAATAGCTGACAGGGTTTTTTTCTTTAATTATGTAAAGTAATATATATCTTACAATTAATGACATCTTCGATTTGATGAAATACTGTATAATAAGCAAGTCAGGAACGAAATCATTAAAATGTTCTAAGTGGGTATCCCATGCTGATAAGGCTATAGATAATTTTCTTTTTTTTTTCTCTCTCTCTCTCTGTGGCCTTTCCATTTCCTCAATATTTTATAGTAAGCCCATACTATACTTTTATAAACAAGAAACTAGAACTTTCTTATAAAAGTCACATGTTGAGATGGTACTAAGCGCTTAGGCAGCTGCAAGTGGCTCGGGCTGGCAGCTGAGGTCACAGAACCACTTGCTGTCAGGCCAGTGAAGACTCTGAGGTGAGGAAGAGATGTGAAAGTACTTGAGGCGCTCACTGTCCCAATTTGTAAATATGGATTCTGTCTTTGTCAACCAGTGAGCTTTCTGGTAAATCCTGGTGCACTTCTAACGCTAATTATTAAACAGATAGTTTGTGAGCCTGAAGGGGAAAAGTGGAAAAGAGCCATTATAGATTTACAAAGAACTAATAATAATGCTTAACTAATTTCATTTCCTTTTTTGGTCAGGGCTACTAGACTGGAAGACCAGGGAAGTGCCCTAGACATTATGTAACTGGATTTCCGCAAGGCATTAAACAGACAGCCTCTTTTGATATCCTTGTGAACAAGATGAAGGGATGTGGGCTCCAAGTTCCCCATTGCCTCCAGGAAAAAGCGCAGACTCCTAGTGCGTCGCGCAAGACCCTTCACAGCCGGCCTCTCTGCCCTTCAGCACCTCTCTGAGCCAGCCGTGCTCTTATTTTACGTCTGTGCCTTGGCACGTCTGCTCCCTCTGCCTGGAATGCCCTCTGCCACCTCCGCGAGCTGAGATAGCACTCGCCCTTAAACTTCAAACTCCAGTGCCATGTCTTCGAGCAGAATCAGTTTCGCTTTTCTCTATGCAGTTGATTCACTCCTTCAGTCCAGCACTTACCCTACAGCATTAGAATGATTTGTTATGTTTACCCTCCTCACTAGACTGTGAGCTCAAGGGCAGGCTGTCTTATTCTTCCTGTCTGTATCCCCATTGTCTTCCACAACTCCTGGCCCCTAATGATTGGTGCTCAATAAATACTTTTCAAATGAATTTCTTAAATATAAAAGAGGAGAGTAAGCTTTGTGAAATGTATGATTCATTTAAAGTGATTAATTTAAACAGCTAACTGTTCTCCATTTTATTAAAATCTAAATGATTTTCTTTTATTGTTAGTATATTCCTCCAGTATAAAAAGTGCCTAGACAGGCTGGGGATTTAGCTCAGTGTACCTGCCACCTCCTGCCTCATAAGTCCCGAGTTCAATTCCTGGTACCAAACAAAAAAAGCTATAGAAAAGTGAAGTTCTCCTCCCTGCGCATTGCATTGTCCCTTCAGAAGACCCTATCCCAGATAAGCCTTGGTTCCACTCTCTCTTGGTGACCTCATCTAAGTAAAGAGCCTGGACTCAAAAATAGGGTCTGGAAAAGATACCAGTAAATAGAGCTTTAAAAGCCCTAGATAGCTTTAAATAATAGCATGTTGACTGGGAGCATGAATGTGAGAGTTGAGCAGCAGGGGTCTGGATCCCAGATTCGCTGCCACCTGCTAGCCAAGAGACTTTGGGCAAATCACTTCCTCTCTCTGAGCCTCTGTTTCCTCTTCTGAGACATGAGGATTAAAGCCTAGACACAGCACAGGACCTGAACACACAATAAGTGCTCTTGAAGGAAATGGTAACCATTCATTATCACCATTTCCCACCCCGGGGCTTTGTTTTACAGCAGTGGCCCTCTGCAGAGTGGGGATTGGGCAGTATCTGAAAACATCCGGCTGTCATGTCTGGGGAGGGGTGGGGGGAGGCCAGCGATGCCGCCAACATCCTCCAGTGCGTGGGACAGGCCCCCCCAGCAAAGCACGAGCCCGCCCAAGGTCAGCAGTGTCACGTTGAGAAGCCCTGTGTTTAAGTTTCATGAGGTTAAAATTTAAGAATATCTTGCCCCTTCTTATTTCATACTGATCAGTCTTAAATGAAGGAGGCTAATTTTGCATCACCGACTATCTTTAAGGTTTTATTCAAAAATGATTTTTATGCCTATTGCCATGGACGACAAGATTTTGGTTAGACCTATATGGTGGAAATTCTAAAGACTTGAAGAATGACCAGCACCACCAGATAGAGACACCAGCACCAGTCTGGGTCAATGTGATCACCATGGCACATGGCCCTTGGGCTGGGTTCCTTTCAGTTGTGTCTATTCATGGCATACTTTCCTTCTAGGAAAAAAACGTGACTACCAGAGTCTAGGATGGCCCAGCCCCGACGAGTGCATCAAACTCCGCTGGGTGGAGCTCACTGCCATCGTGAGTACCTGGCTTGCAGTTTCTTCAAAAAACATTGAGTGAGTATCTCCAACCTGACCTTCCTTCGCAGCACTCTCGTGCCCCGGAGCCCCCAGGCCTCAGCTGACTTCAGGGAAGCCCTCTCTGTGTCAGCAGCTCTCAGAAGAGTCACCTGCTGGAGTTGTGGTCAGCAGAGGATGGCACTGCTGGTCACAGCCCACAGGTGGACTCAACCCACGCTAGGATGCAGTGAACATGCCCCCTTCCTTGGTTCTGTCACCACAGTCCTGTATAGCGTAGTTTGAACTCAAGACCGTATCCCTCTTTGTATAAACGTAAGACTCACCAAGTCTCTCGTAAAGTCTCTCGTCAACATCGTGTGTTTGTGGCCAGTGCGAATCGAATCAAAAACCCCTGCCAAGATACAAACTGAGCAAGGGTGTCTCTCAGACAACATGTTCTTTTTTGTGAGCCTTTTTTCTACCCCGGGTGGCACTCTTTAGGATTTACCCCAGGCCTTATTTTATAATCACTCCTTGTGAGACTGATCTAGTCCCAGAAACTTCAGTCACCACTGATGTTGCTAACAACTCCCAAATCTGCATCTCCACACCAGACCATTTCAAAGCTGTCTTCATGGCCATTATGTCTGTACCTCTGTTAAACATCTGTAGTTCAAGAAAGCAAAATCCATCATTTTCATGCCCATTGCCCATCTGTATTAATCACTTTCCTTCTGGGACAAAACGTCTGACACCCACAACTTAAAGATATTCGTTTTGGCTCAGGTTTCAGAGGGTTCATTCCATGGTCAGCTGGCCCTGAGGCATGGAGGAGGACAGCTGCTCAACCCATGGCAGCCAGAAAGCAGAGAGAGGAGGAACCACAGAGAAAGATTCCCCCTCCACAGGCACAGCCCGTGTGCCCCTTGTCCATGCCGGCCCAGGTCATGTCACACTGTGCACTCCTTAGTGGTAGATCTGCTGATGAGTGCGGTGCCTTGTGGTCCAGGCATCTTCTGACAGCCCTACCTCTGAACATACAAGGTTTTCGGGGACCCTTTTAGATCTAAACCATGTCACCATCTAAAAGAACATTATTAGTTTCGTTTGCTTTTCCATTCCATATTCTTAGTAAATATCTCCTCCAGTGTCGTTGCCATTAACCTGGCGTCATCCTTAATAATCTTTTCTCCTTACCCCTGAAACCTAGTGCTGACCAATCCTTAGAACTTTTCCTCCGTGAGTACCTCTCAAAATCATCTGTATACTTTTCTCTATCTCCATTGCTGCCTCCTTAGACCAAAGGACCACTGTCACCCCGCGCTGGTCCACTTGCTCTCTTCACTTTTGCCTCCAGTCAATCCACTTGCTCCACAGTACTCAGAATTCTTGAAATGTAAGCCAGATCATTCTTAAAACAGTCTAGTACATTTTTTTAAAATGCAGTGCTGGGGATTAAACCTAGGGCTTCCTGCATGCTGGGTAAATCCTTTCCCAGCTTTCCACTAACTTCTTCCTGCTGCTCAAAGCAGCCTGCAAAGCCTCCTGCTCTGCTCCCCGCTTGCCTCTGTCTTCAGCTCCCTCCCTCTGGTCGGGGTTTTCACCCATGGTGTGGCCTTTACCTATGATGTCTCGCTGATCTCACCTGCTTTGTCCGCACTCATCCTCCTGGTTTCTCCTTAAATTTCACTTCTTCGGGGAACCCTGCACCAGCCACCCCTTCCACACACAGAGAAAGTACGCTCTCTCCTACGATATATTTTCATTATACCGCATCTTCACCTTTTGGGTCTTACTGTATCTGTAAGAAGTGAATGCCTCACAGAATGATGACCATCGCAAGAGCAAGGACTTTATTGTAGTCCTGCTGTCCGACACATAACAGGCTCAGGAAGATAAATAACAAAGGGGTCGATGAATGAAGGAATGAATGCCTGGTATGTGTTGAACTCTGTGTAAAGCCTTTTTAAGTTTTGAAGTAAATTTGGTAGTGCCACCCTGCCGCACCAGTTCATGTGACAGCCTGAGTACAGTGAGAAATGATCGCCTGGGTTCATCGGGAAGTGCTTACATCTCCTGCATAGTATTGTGCATAGCCGTATCTGTGTGAAGCTGGCTGACCTTTAGATGACCCATGAGGACAAGTGTGCTGTGCGTAAAGGAAAAGTGAAAGATTGGAACCAGTTACAGGTTTTATCACTACCTGGACCCTGGAAGAAGAGCTAGAAGAAAACCCAGCTGTCCCCACCCCCGGGTTGGCAGGGGCAGTAGCAAATGGGAGCTGCGATCCGCTGTGGTTAGTTAATGCGCTCTTCTCTGCCCACTCAGTCCCCGTAGCTGACGTGGTCGTCTCTGTTTCCCAGCATCACAGAACACATCGACTTTGCCACGCCCATACAGCAGCCGGCGACAGAGCCTCTCTGCAACGGCAATCTCCCCACGAGCATGCACACCCTGGACCACTTGCACGGCGTGTCCAACCGAGCCAGCCTGCACTACACGGGCGAGAGTCAGCTCACAGAGGTGACCTTTTGAATCTTTAGTGTCATGGACTGGTTGTGGGCAGCACAGTCACCACTGTCTTTCAGTTAGCTGTTTTCCAGGCACCTCCAGGCCAAGCCTAGTTTCTTTTATACCCTGGGACCGAGCTTATGCTTTTTTTTTTTTTTTAACAGCTATGAACTTTTAGCTCTGATAAACCTCTCAAGGCATAAAATATTGTGTCTTCCCATCAGATAGAGGCTCTTGAGAGAAATATTTTCCTGTTGCAATTCTTAAAAAAGGATGGGGGGCACACCCTAGCAAAGAAGATGGGCTGAATAAATTTTGGTACAGATATAATATACAGTGGCACCATCAGGATGGAGATCATAAAAAGTGCATTTACCAGAATGAAGAAATTTTCAGATTACCTGAAAACGTAAGTCATAGTACACCGTGTAATCTCACACTTTGTAAGGATTCTATCTACATATACATAGAGAAGTATTTGAAAGATGTGACTGTGTGTGTTTGTGTGTGTCCAGTGCTGTTAAGGGTGGCTGTATCTGATGACAGAATTACATAGTTTTTATTTACATCCCTTTTTTTGGTACCGGGGATCGAACTCAGGTCCTTGCACTTTCGAGGCAGGCAGCATCACCACTGAGCTAAATCCCCAGCTCTGTATCCTTTATTTTCCAGTGTTGCTGTCACACATGTGTTTTATGCGTCTGTAGTTTTTATGAAGTGAGGGAGGGCTGAGGGGGTGGCAGAACGCTGTAAACGTGTCCTCCACAGATGCCCTGTGAACAGGACCGCGGCACGTGTCCCCTGTGCCCAGCTCAGTGTTAGCGGCCTCGTCCAGACCCTGCCTCCCTTTTTCCCCTCTCATTTGCCATCTCCCTTCCATTCCAGGTACTGCAGAATCTTGGCAAAGACCAGTACCCACAGCAGTCGCTTGAACAGATTGGTACCCGAATTGCCAAAGTTTTGGAGAAGGTAAGTCACCCCACAGGGGCGCTGGAAACGTGCCCGCCTCTGGCTGATGTGTCGGTGTTTTGTTCCTGAATGGCTCGTCCCTCTTCTGTTCACTACTGACACTTGGCGACCAGAGGCACAATGTGAAGTAAGCTCGCGCGGGTGTTTCCGTCACTTTCCGTCCTCTTTCCCATCGCTTGGTTCACTTTCTGCTCTGCTTCTTCGTTTCCCTGCTGTGGCAGAACTTACCCACTTGGTTCTCTCCCCTTTACTGAAGCAGAAGAGGTGGTGGGGCCACACTGTCTAGGGACGTGCAGTACCTCGGGTGTTCTCTTGTTGGTAGAGAATGGTATTTTAGATGGTAGGGAGGAAACGTATCTTAAAATATCTTTTCTCTTTAAATCATGACATAAAGTATTCATAAAATTGCATTTTCATAAAGCCTACAGAAGATATATACAGAAAATCACTAAGATTGCTCTGCTGTCTCTGTGATATTTGTATAAAGAGGAATTTTTAAATTTTAATTTGATTACTTTATGGTGAGGAATCTTTCTTTTCTATTACTATATCATTTTTTTTTATTGGTCCCAGGGGTCGAACGGGTCCTTGTGTTTGTGAGGCAGGTGGCAGCACCACTGAGCTAAACCCTTGGCCCTGTTACTATATGATATTGAAGAGATTATAAAACATAGTGATTGAGAAGCAACTCAGCTTCCCATCTGAATACGACAGTATGAGATAACAGTTTTTTTCCTCTTTTGGCTATCACACATCAATTTTTTTTAAATCATGTTGAACAATTTGTCCAAATGAATAAAGATCACAAAGCACAAATATGAAAATTCAGAGAGATTAGCAAAGGATATAAAAATAGGAGACAGAAAACAAATACAGGTGAAGATTCCCTTACCAAGAATGCTTGGGAAAATAGAAAAAAATAATCACAGAAATGATGACAAAGTTGGAAGAAGCCACAAGAAAAATACAGCATAAACACAGAAAGGAACACGTAAGACAGAAATGACTAAATGACCAAAATAAAATAGTTAAAAAGAACTGGAGAGAACATGAGGGACGGGGATTTAGCTCAGTGGTGCCGCCACCTGCCTCACAAGCGCAGGGACCTGAGTTTGATCCCCGGTGCCAAAAACAAAAAAAGAACATGAACAGATAAAAATATATTTAAAGCTAGAATTAAATAAATAAGACTGAGCAAGTCTTTATAAAATATACCTAGTTAAAAGGCCGTACTGTGTGCAAGAGAACTGACCCAAAATAGCCAGCAACAGTGCTTATTCAAGCAAATTGTATAACCCTAGAAAGGGATTGTCCTTGACACTTCTGTTGCAGCTGAGTGGTCTCCAAGAGAGAAATTTCCACTGTGGAACAAATGGATCCTCCACTGGGCATAGTGAGGGGCAGGGGGTGTTATTGTTGGTCTCACAAGAAGGAGGTCTCTAAAGACCTTTCTCTTCAGTGAAGGGCGAGGGGAAGGCGGGCATAGACAGATGCGGTGTGAGCCAACTGGACCCTGGGCTGGAGCTTCAAGAGGCCAGGTCCCTCTGTCCCTCTCAAGGACAGAAGTCGGTAAGCTGAGTACGGACCTTTGAGCAGCCAGTGACTAGTTGAGCTGTTACAAGTTACACAAGAACAGCTTACAATAGAATTAAGACTAAAAACTTGGGTCGTTGAGTAAAAGGAAGATTCGAAAAGAGAGTCAGCACATTTCGAAAAGGGAAGAAAGGAGCTTGAGGTGTAGGGAAGGTGGGATGAGTAGGGGAAGGGTAATAAGGGAAAAGAAAAAAATGTGAGACAATGAAAAGATGGAAATAAAGTATTTGTAGATGGGGAGGGGAGGGGGGGGTGAAGGGAGGGCAGGGGTAAGGGGAAAAAATGAGAATCAAGACTTGTCATGTGGAGGTACAAGATCCCAACAATGAATGTAACTGTACTGTATCCCTAAAATGTACCAATAAACTCAAAGCTGAAAAAATAAAAAAAAAAAAATTTAAAAGAGATGTACAGCAATGTGAATACACTAAACATTGCTGAAGTTTATACTGAGAAATTATTAAGATGGTGATTTTTATATTTTTTTTACTGTATTATTTTATATTGTTTTTACTGTAATTTTAAAAATCAGATTAGACCTCATAACATAAAATTTGTCGTAAAAGAACAGATGAATAACAGAACCCTGGAAGATACCTAAACCAAAGCATGCAAACATAAAGGAACTTAAGGGTGGTTCAGCTAAGGCCATAAAACACATCTGTAACACATTAAAAAAGAAAAAGTTTAACATATGGAGTACCACGAAGAGTTAAGAGAATGGGTCAGAAGCAATGTTTGAAGAGTTAATGGCTAAGAAGTTTCTAAAAATAATGAAAGACATTATTCCACAGAGTCAGGAAAGTCTGTGACCCACAAAATAAATACAGAAAGCCCCATTATAACTTCATTGCATACTACTATAAGAAAAGACAAAATCTTTAGAGAAAAAATCACTTTCAAAGAAACAACCATAAGACTGGCGGTGAGCTCAGTGGAGCAGTGGAACCAGAACACAAAAGTAATGACATCTCGATTGCTGAATAAAAGCACTGCCAACCCACAGTTCTTTACTCTGCAAATATCCTGGAAGAATGAAGTAATCACTACCTATGGTATTGGCAGAAAGATTGCAGAAATAGGTCAGTGGAACAGAATAGAGAGGCCATAAATGTATGGCCAAATGATTTTCTACAAGAGCTCCACAGCATTTGAATGTGGCAAGTAAAATCTATTCAACAAATGTTTTTGGAGCATCTAGATACTCGTAAAGAAGAAAATAGCCCATACCTCACATCATCCACCAAAGTAAACCTTTGGTGAATTATAGACAAACATACAAGTAAAACTAAAACAATAAAGCTGCCAGGACAAATCATAAGAAAATATACTCAAGTCTTTAGTGTATTTAGACAAATAGTTTTTAGGACATAAAAAGCATGAGCTATGCAACAGAAAATTGATAAATCGTATTTCATCAAGATTAAAACAACTCAGCAGATACCTAACAGACAAGCCACAGATTGAGATAAAATAATCACAACACATGGGAATCCAAAATATATAAAGAACTCCTACAAGTACAGACTAAAATCCAGTGCAGTACCTTAAATGCTTCTGGAAAGGCTAAAATGAGAAAGATTGATAGTGACAAGTGTTGAGTTGGGTTTGGAGCAACAGGGACTCTCTTACATTGCTACTGGGATTATAAAATGGGATGATCATTTTGTAAACAGGTTGGCAGTTAAGCATATGAAACCCAGTAATTTTACTACTAGGTATACATCAAAGAGACATGAAAACATATGTCCAAAAATACTTGTTTAAAAAAAAGTTACCAGCAGCTCTATTCGTAATAGCCAGTGAAAACGGAAACAGTGAGATGCCTGTCAGGAGGAGAATGGGTACTATTCAGCAAGGAAGCACCAACATGGTGAATCTCAATGATGTGGGCACCACAAAAAGTGCTCAATGTCTGATTCTGAGTATATCAAATTGTAGACTAGTCAGGATTAACCTGTGGTGAGCGAGGAAAGGCAGATCAGCGATTGCTTCATGGGGATTGGCACTGACTGGAAGACAGCATGAAAGAACTTTCTGGGTAGTTGTATATTTCTGTCTTTAGTTGTCAAAACTGAATGTTATATTTAAGTTTCCAACATTTCTATATAAATTATACCTCGATTTTTAAAAAATAAAGATTAAATATTTTAGACCACCAAAATCTAAAATATGTATATTACCTACCTACAGACTTGCACTAAAAATTACAGGCTTTCAGGCAAAAGGAAAATTATCTCAGGTGGAAGCTCAGAAATAAAAGAAACAGCAAAGAGCAACTTAAAGAGTAAATAATAGCCAACACAGATATGGTGCTGCAAAATAAAGACATCTTCTAGAGTCAAGATTCTTGACAGTAGTAATACAAAAGCAGGAGGAGTTGCACTGGCCATTTAGGTAGTCCTGGGTCCTGGGCCTGGTGTGCCGTGGTGCATTCAGCACACTTTGCAGGCCTCGCTTCGCCTGCTGTCTTACACGTAAGTGGGTGGGGAGTGCAGGATGCCACCACCACAGCAGGAGGCGTGTGCCTGTGTGGGGAGCCTCACCCTAGGCCAGGAGCCCTTCTCTGCCAAGTGACAGCTCAGGTACCAGGGAACAGATAAAACATTTCCTTGTGGCGACCTACCGTAGCTTAGGTGTCGAACCAGTGTCTTCTGCAATAGGGAATATTTTAGCACCCATGTGTGCAAGACGCATGATTGGCTGTAAGAAGCACAGCACTCAAAGCTCAAAACTGTTGCTTTCCACCATGTATTCATAGCTTACTTACAGTTGTCTAACCCAGATTCTGTTTATAGCTTACTTACGGTTGTCTAACCCAGATTCTGTTTACCGGTCATTTGGACCAGAATCTATACTGACCTGTGACAGCTTTCCCCCTCTGTTAGGTTTTCCGGGGAGTAGATCTTGAAAGTTTACCCAGCAATGGCTTCCGTTGTACACTCATAGACTAACCTTCATGACCCTGAACTACCAAATACATTACTCAGACTTTAGGGTACATCACAATCACAATCTTAAAATGTTGATTGGTGGACCCCTGTGACCTCACTTCCATATTTGGTAGGTCTAAGAATTTACATTTCTAATAAGTTCCCAGGTTATTCTGCTAGCCTGAGAATTGTATGTTGAAACCAGTGCCTCAGGAAATGGCAGTGATAATAGAAGTGGCATTTCCCATTTGCTCTTCACAAAACAGCAAGGATCTCCCTATTCTCTTGCTTTCATCTTTTAAAAATAGTCATTCTTGGGCCGGGATTTAGCTCAGCAGTTCGGTGGCCTGCCTTGCGAGTGCAAGGACCCGAGTTCAATTCCTGGTACCAAAAAAAAAAAAAAAATAGTCATTCTTATTTCTTCAGACGCCCATCAGTAGTTGTCTCCAGGAAGTTGAGTTTGCATTGCCTGCA